GTGCAAGACCCGATTTTATATCGGTCATACACTAGCTAGAGGTGTACACAGAACTGGGGGGGGGATGTCCTCAAAATAAGTGTTAGTTTGGTAGCCCGTAGGTGGAAGTCCATAAATTAGCGACCCATAAAGACAAGATATTAAATGTGGCCATTGGGTGAGCATAACTCAATGAGTGGGCATGGAGTGCCTAGTTCATGGGCATGGCATCATGTATGTTGTGGGAACTCGAGGGAAGGTTCGGGATTGGTTTTGCATGCATGAAACATTAGTTAGGTACAACTCATGCTTCTACGGATGACTCGCACTTGGGCCTAGCTTGATGATAGAGCTAGAGTCTAACCTCTTATTTTGATGTCATAGATACCTTTTGTCCCAACTATAATTACTTAGATAGCCTTGTATTTTTCAAATATATAACATATGTATATTCTTTTGTAAAGACATACAATTTAGGGCAGTTCTATATATGTCATGTTTTTGTGCTAATCACACCCCCAACTTGAGGTTTGCTAGTCCCTAGCAAACATTATTTTAAACCACAAGCTATAAATTAAACCGAAATCCATTCATTCAAACAAACATCCAACCACTCAAAATGCATAAATCATATTACAATTAAATAAATGGCTTTGGGCAACGATAAAACAAAACCACTATGATATTTCATTAATCATTTCCAGAAAGTTCTTTACAACGGGTTCAAGTTCCAAAAAAAAAAGGCCAAAACCTAAAGATACTTCTACTGGCCGACATAAGAACCCTAATTATGTACAACCAACATTCAAAACAAAATACAAAAACTCCTCAATCATTATCCTTGTCAAAAACATCTTCATCCTTGGTCTCGGACTTTGACTCTGACTCATTGTCATCGTCGTTAACCTCGACCGTCAGGGATGGCACATGAGCTATGGTCGAGGGTCCAGCTAGAGGCTGTGGTGGTGGTCCTCCTGGGATAGGCTCACTCAAGAAAGTATGCTGGAAGAGCCTTGTAACCATGAGCGTCGGGCCGTGCATGGTGGACTCTAATGCATCTAAACGTTGAGGAATGGTACAGGAGGGAGCAGTTGTAGTTGCGGGAGTAGGAGGTGGAGGTGTCGAAGAAGATGTTCCAGCATCTGATCGCTGTACCCTCCGACCCCTAGCTCTCTCACCCTCAGTCTTGGCAGCCCTCTTTTGACTGCTAGATTTTCCTATAGCTCTAGTCTCTAGGGGAACAGTACATCATGTGCATACATCTTCACCTTGCCCTGAGCATAGAGCTTGGTGACAAGACTACCAAAGGGGAGGTTTACCTTTGGCTTTAAAGCTGTGGCAAACTCCCGCATCTCCAACCAAATAAAATATGCCACATCAATGGCAACCCCAGTCATAAACACATGCAGTAAAGCTAACTTCTCTATGTTTGGGTTCTTCTCTGAACCTTGTGGCATCAAATTATAATGAAGGACTTTGTTCATTATTCCATATTAATGCTTGAGGCCCACGATCGACGTTGTTTCGCTAAACGTAGTCGGGTCCTCATAGGTGAGAGCCACGTAGTCCCTGAGCTCACATTGCATGGGTAAACCAGTGTGGTCGGGGGAGGCCTCTCATACCCCATCACCATGGCAATCGTAGCGGGGGTCATCTCAAATGTCTTACTCCTCACATTCATCCTTAGCCTTTGCCTGTCATCACCAAAACCCAATAACTTTTGGTAAAATTCTTGACACAAGCCTAAATTGTACCCCTTAACTTCCTCAAAACACAATCTCAACCCCTGTTGTTCAATAATTCTCACCACCTCATTTGTAGGTCCCAATGAAGCTTTATCCACATATCGCTCACAAGTTACGCCCTTCTCCTCAATCCTTTGTTTTTGGGCGTCGTGCCTCACCTTTGTCCTCTAATTTTTCCTATCTTGGGAGCTAGGATCCTCTCTAGTCCTCTTCTGGGAGGTAGAGTCTGTAGGTAGTGGAGACCCTGGCCCAGTGCTCTTTGTGCGGGCCATGAAAATCAACAGTGCCCCTAAACCCATGAAAGTCAACAACCACACCAAGAAGCTCTCCACAACCTCAAACCCCTCCATGGTCAGTTCATTCATCCTAGCTAGTGCAATGGAGTCAAGAGATTTGGAAAATATCAAGAATTGACTTGAGAAACTTGGCAAAAAGAGAACCTAGGGTTTCCTTGAAGACCATTTGGTATTTTTCGCTAACTCACCCTAAAATTGAACCCTAATCTAGAGAAAGTAAGAAATTTGAGATCTGGGGATAGTAATTTGAGGGTTAGAAGTGAGTAGGCAAAAACTTCCAGAAGGTTTTGCCTTTGCTGCAAACCAATCCTTTGTTCTAGAATTCACATCCAAACCAAATCTCCTCAACTCCAACACATTTTAACACCCTTTCTAAGATATCTAACCTACCAAGAACTTGAACCATACTTGTGAACCACAATTGGTTGATCAGGCCCAAAGTCATTTCCGAAATTGTAACATGATTTAAGATTTTGATGTTTTCAAAGTATAAGACATGGATTTCTAATTTAAACTACCAAAATGAATACCCAAATTGCAAAACATGAGTTCAAACAATGAGAGATTTGCTAAATCTTATCAAATATCGAAAGTTTGAGCAACATTCCCCCATCCTTTAGGCATAGAGCTACCTAATACGTCGTTCAACTGATTGAACCAAGCACACATAAGCAACACTATGGTTTTAAATGCTAGTCTAAAGTATGTGCATACACATTCATTTTCAAACTTGTGTGTTTGTGCAATGAACAAGTGATGTGAGCATTTACACAATGGAATTCACATTCTCTTTGACTATCCAAATTAAGCTTCGATGCAACATCACCAAGGGTGTCTCTCAACAATGAATTACACATATGCTATCCTTGTATACTCTCCATGTATATATGTGAGATGGAATCTTGTGCACAAAATGAAATATACTCACATATAATCCAAAAATGAAGTTTATGCACGAAAGTAAAACAACCTTGGTATAATCTCATGAAAGAAATGCTAGGACACTATATAGCAAACCGACTTCTCTTTTCTTTAAAAGTATGCATCTCCCATACTTCTCTATATCATTTAGGACTTCAAGGGTTATAATGGGGCCTTGGGGTGATACTGAGGCAAATGAAATGAAGGATATAGGATAACAAAGCGGGTTGTTCCAAGTGAAAGACTTTTATTTCAATAACACCTCCCTTTTTCATGGGATTTTCATTCTTACACCATCACCACACCTCTTTGTTTCTTTTCTTTCTTTTCCTTAACATTTTCCTTTTCTTTTGATAATTCTTTTCTTCTTCTCACCCCTTGTCTTCCTTTTCCTGGATTGTCATTCTTTTACCATTGAACTCCTTGAGTTTCAACATCATTTATCCCATTGTTTGAGTTTCCACACCATATTTCCTTTTCTTTGACAATCACTCATATTCAACTCTAGGAACAACCAAGGTAAGGTAGATATTTATCATTTTCACTAGCTTGGTCTAATGTCTAGCATAGAAATGAATTTCAATTAAGGCTCAATCCCGACACTAGGGATAATATTTTCTCAAGAAAAAAGGCTAAGGCTCAGAATATTCAAAAATGGCCTAAGATCACCTCTAGATAAGCACAGAGGAGCATTATGCATTTCAAGACAAGTCAATCAACTACACAAATGCACCTAGCCAAAACAAACATAATGAGACTATTGAACAAATTTGAAATTTAAAGAACTGTTCCTTGAGTAAATGTAAGTCCCCTCCAACAAGGATTGACACTAAAGCTCTTGTGGGTTCTTACTCATCTCTACAATTCATGTCAAGTACTAAAATGTGAACTCAACCCATAAATTGCCAAAATTTCTCATTCAAGGTACCATTACAGTTGAGTTTAAAAGCAAACCCATACGTGATACTCAAGCATAGGATGAACCTCTATAGTGTGCTCATGTATTCAGAATTCAAAGCAAAGATCAACGTATCACCCAACTCATAACACTCTTAATAAAGGAATATCAATCAACATTTAGATATTTTCATAAAAAATTTCAAATTTTTTACACAATTTGCACTACTGTGAACGAAAATTTGTATGTATGTGAAAGGTGAATTTTCACCGCAAAAATGGACATTATCAACAAAAATTTCCACAACATTGGTGTATCATACAAATGGTGCGCCTCACCCCCTAACTTGTTCCATGTATTGTCCTCAATACAAAAAAAAAAAAAATGAAATGCAATGAAAGACTGTAAATGATGAGTAGGGTTAAAGAGCACCTCGTAATTGAACTTTTGCCAAAAACACCAATACCTGCAACTAAGAAAACAACACTATACCCGAATTTAAAGTAAGTAAATATAAAAAGCTAAAGGAAGTAAAAAGTAACTTTACACTAAAATCATACAAAAAGTCAATCCTCCAACAAGTCCGGATAAATCGGATCCGTTAAATCTTCCTTCATTCCTTGTCCTTCAAAACCCTAGAAAAAAGGCTTAAGTCTTTGGCCATTAACCTTGAATGTCTGGTCATTCTTGGGGTTTGTGACTTCCACAGCTTCATTGGGGTAGACCACCTTGACAAAATAGGGGCCGTCCTAACAGGATCAGAGTTTGCCTTAAAAAATCAAGAGACGAGAATTGTATAAGAGCACTTTTTGATCGGGCTCAAATGACTTCCTCACAATGGAGTTCTCATGAAAGATCTTAGCCCGTTCTTTTGAAATTTTTGAGCTCTCATACGCATCTCTTCAAATCTATTCCAGTTCATTTAATTCTAATTTCCTACGCTCTCTGGCCATTCTCAAATTATAGTTCAAAGTCTTTATGGCCCAATAGGCCTTGTGTTCCATTTCAACTAATAAATGGAAAGCCTTTCCATAGACAAGCTGGTAGGGACACATGCCTAAGACAATCTTGTAGGCACTACAGAAAGCCCATAGGGCATCGGTCAGTCTAATCGACCAATCTTTCCTAGTTGGATTCACTGTCTTTTCTAAGATGTTTATGATCTCCCTAACGGCCAACTCAGCTTGGCCATTGGTTTTTACGTGGTATGCGGTGGATACCTTATGTGTGACACCATATCTATGCATCAATGATGCAAATGGTCTATTAACAAATGCGACCCACCGTCGCTTATCATTGCACGAGGCATCCCAAACCTCAAAAAGATATTTTCTTTCAAGAATTTGACCACGACCTGGTGATCATTGGTCTTGGTTAGGATGGCCTCCACCCATTTGGACACGTAGTCCACTATTAGTAGAATGTATAGATAGCCAAACGACATAGGAAGGGACCGATGAAGTCAATGCCCCAACAATCAAATATTTCTATAACAAGTACAGGGGAGAGGGGCATCATGTTCCTTCGGGTCACACTACCTAAACGTTGGCATCTATCACATTCTTTACAAAACAAAATACAATCTTTTATAAGAGAGGGCCAATAGAAACCTGGCTGTAGAATTTTTGCTGAAGTCTTCTTTCTTGGATGTTTTCGTTGTAGTATCCTAATCTCCTAACATCATCTCTCAATATGTGTGTAGTGTATGCGTGGAGGAGAGTGTCACTCTCCCTTGGAATGATGTTAAAAAAAAGGGCAACAGAATGGTGGTGGGTGAAATGAATGAATGTGTGAACAAAAATGCTTCCCAAGTGCAAGAAGACTTTTATGTGTTGTATTTTACTTGGAATCGTATTCCAAGTTCGTCTCCTCAGGGAAGGAGACGAATCATGTTGAAGGTGATTTGGGTAAAATAAAAGTGTAAAAATCTTTTGTTGTTTGAGTTTGGTTTATGATTGTATTTTAATGAAATTGAAATGGGAAACAAGTGTTGGCTAATCCAAAATGTTCACTCTAATGGGAATGCCAAGTCAAATCGAAACCTTCCTCCAATGGCGCATAGATGAATGATTGATTCGTGGGAAGCGAGAGACAAGATGGAAGTGAGGATCCAAACATAACCCCTGACAAGTCTACAGGATATCAAAAACTCACAACCATGTCCACTTTTAACCCAGTCAAACCAAACCATCGTACACCGAGGGGTGGAAAGAAGATGAGTTGAAATGACATACCCAAGAGGAGGTCTCCCTTGGATTAGCCAACTTAAAGACTTAGCTACTCATGCTTAAAGGAAAGACAATAATGTAATGGAAAGACATTGTAGAACAATGAAGATTTTAGCTAAGTTAATGCAAGAAAACATAAACTAAAAGAAAGTGCGTTGAATACCCATTTCAAAACTAAGAAATGAAGAACTTGAGTGCATTAATGGTGAAAGCTTGAATAAAAGACTAAACATCAAAGAAACTTGCAATAAATGACACTCAAAACTTAAAGCAAAGCTTGGAAGATCCTTACAAGGTATTACAAGACAATGCAATGAAGAAAAATGCAAAAATATTAACTTCTCTCTCTAGCACTATTCATTTTCTTCCTTGGACTCTCTCTCTCTCTCTCTCTCTCTATAATACAATGTATATGGAATAATAATATGTATATGGTGTATGGAGGCTTCAAAAACATCCATGGAGTCTTCCCCTAGCTGTGTGATGTGATCTCTATCCATAGGAGCTGCCAAGGAGTGGGCTGGACAGGCTAGTGCAGGCCTAGCTTGCACACCCATCATCTTCTCTTTCCTCTCTCCTCATTTATGATCAAGCATCCAAAAGTCCAAGAAAAGGTGTATGAAGGGATGTTCTGTGTGTAAGACATGTCAGGGACAAGTGGAAGACATCATGGTGGGACCCCTAAGGCTACAGAGCTTAAGATGCAAAATCTGAGTTCTTTCAATAAAATCTACCGGTAGGTTTTACTCTACTGAGCAAAACCTATCGGTAGGTTTGCGGTAGGTGCAGGTCCAGTAGCTAAAACCTGTCGGCAGGTTTTTCCTTGTTTTGCAAAAATCTTGGATTCTCCACCTTCCAAGCAAACATCAAACCTCCACCTCATCTCCAATTAACCCAAGCATCATGAAAAGACCTAAGAGGCACCATTTGAACCCCCTTTTCCTGTAAACATATCAAAACTCCATTAAATGCTTGAACAGTGCTATTCCGCTCATTTTAAGCACAAAAGTAAGTGTAAAAGGGATGTAAGAGCACATAAAATGTGCAATATTTTATGCTAATCACCCCCCC